ACTCCAACTCAAAAAAAAAAAAAAAAATGCAAACCCGGTCAAGTCACTCTCCTACTCACAAACTTCCAGTAACTTCTCATTGCTCTTAGAACATTTTGCACTTTTTGGCCCTGGCTTACCTCACACTGGCCTTAAGTCATACCAGTCTTCCTTTGTGCTTTCTCTGCTCTAATCTCTGTGCCTCAAACTGGCCAGCCACTTAGGTCTCCACATGCTGTTCTCTCTGCCTGGAGAGCACCGCTTGGTCTTCCTCATCCCACCCCAGCCCTACTTGTCGGTCTACTCAATTTCCGCTGGTTCTTCAAAGTTTAGCTTAAGCCCGATTTTCCCAGACTCTGAGAAGCACCCTGGATATATGCCAAGGCATTTTATCTAGCTTTTAAAGCCCTTACCCAACTGTGATTAAATAACTGTGTAATTAGTTATTTGGTATCTATCTCCCCATCTCCTCTAGGAGGGCTGAAGCATGTCTGTCTTGTTTTCCCCTATTTCCCTAGTATTTAGAATTATGACTTGCACATAAAAGGCACTCAATAAATATTGGAATAAATGCATGAATATTTGTCTCCCTAATACAAGAAAAATCTCTCCCCCAGATTCCACCTCAAAAATGTTAAATGCCTTTACTTCTTCAACCTACCTCAGGTGTTCTCCAAGTTCACCGAGATTCCTTTAAGTTACCAATGACTTACCAAGTCAAATCATGTTATTAGACTTATCCCCGAAAAATAACTCTGCAGCAGTGGCACCACTTTCTCCCCTTTGAGTAACTTTCTTTCTCTGAGGATCCCAAATCTCCTCATACACATTCTGGTAATTACAACATTGATGTTTTCTTAGCCTGTCCCTTAAATGTTCATGTTTTCTTGAGATGACACTTTAGTCGCCTCAGTTTCTCGCTGTACTTGTCTTCCCTGGATAATTTCATTCACTGTCATGGAATCACCATTGCTATGCTTAAGTCTAAATGGAATTCAACGTTGCGATTACTCCTGAGTTTCCTATTTTGTTGCTGGCATACTGTCTGCCTTACTTTCCAGGCAGGAAGAAGCTCCTTAGCGTTTTCCTTCTCTTGCAACCATTGAGTCAGTTCTGTCTCACTTGACTCCTAAATATTTCTATCACTCCCTAAGATCAGGCTCTCATCTGCATCCTGGACTGTTAAAACCAACTGACCTCTGTTGCTACCATATTCCAATTTTTCACATCAGTTGTTTTCCTTTATAATAATCACACTCTACTTTAAAACGTGCGCTTCTTAGCATGGCTTAAAAGACCCCATCCAACCTAGACCCAGCTGCCTTCTTGTCTCACGTTCCAGTCTCTCCCTTAGACTCATTTATAACAAGCACTCTAACCTCACTTTTCCTTGTCCTTGCCAAAAACCCATCACAGTACCCTTGCCGATGCTTTCAAGCTGGAATTCCCTTTTGTTCCTCCTCCCTGGCAAATAAACAACCTTCAAGACTCTACTCAAACATCACCTCCTCTCTAACGCTTCACCTACATCTCCAGGTAATTAGCGCCTCTTTCTCTTCCAGTGTTATCACCAGTCCTTTTATGTTTCATACTTTTTTATTTGCAGAAGCCGTTTCCCACTAGATTGTGAGCTTCCTGAGGGCAAGGGATGTGTCTTACTCATTTTTAAATATATTCTCATTGCCTGCCATTATGTCTGACTCATTGCAAGACCTCAAAAAAGATCTGTTGAATGAATGACTCCCGACCCTAAGACAAATTAAGAGCCCAGGGCGGTAGGCTTCGTGAAGGGATGGGTTACACAAATGGCATAAACATAACACCAGATTTTCATTTTCTGGGAAATGGATCTTCACTCCACGAAAGAAACCGTTTAAGTTAATCATCTGACAGTGGCTACCTGCCACCCCGACCTGCACCCCCAACCCCCGAGAAACCACTGCTAAGGAAGAACTGAGGGGCTGCTCGAAACGGCAATGGGCGACACGAATTCTCAACGACTTTGGGAAAAGAAGTCTACTCTGAGGCTGGAGAGCCTGAAGAAGGGGGCAGCAACAATCTACCCGGCTGTGCACACAAGCCCTTCAAGACACATCCCTCACCCCCACCGCGCAGCCCCCCTCGTCTACACCCAACAACGAGGCCTCGCTCCTGCTGCCCCGCCCCCTCTTTCTTCACACCCTCCAATATTTCCTCCCACGGAATCCCTTCACAACTGTCACCGTCTCGTCACCGGGACTTCGGGGCCACAGATCCTCTCAGCCCCCCACCAAGCTACGGCCCCGACCCCCTCCTCCAGCCTGCTCTTACTGTCCAGATAATGTTCCAAATACATCCCCGCAGCCATCTTGGAGCAAAACAAAGCAACTTCCGGTCAGCCCCGGAAGCGACTGTAGCGCCCCCGGAGCTGAAGCTACCTTTGGGGTGAAGCCCTTCCGCCCTTCAAAGAAGAACTTCCGCCCCTAGTGAGTGACCGCCGGGACACATCCGCCCGACGTTGCAACGTCCCCTTTGGCGCGCCACGACCGCCCGCGGCGAGGCGACTGCAGCTCGCTTCCGCCCTCAGAGCCCCGAGACGGGAGCGAGGCGGCGTGACGTCACTGGAGGGCGCCATTTTGCTTCTTCCGCAAACTTTTTTCCCTCCAAAACGGGAACGTGCGGTGACGCGGGCACGGACGGCGCTCTCGGGGGTCGTGTTCCGCAGACACCCCTTTCGGGCCGCCGCGGCGTGCGGTTTGCTTTCTCTGCCGCCGAGTACGAAGCTGGTGACTCCAGCAGGCCCGCCCGGGCAGGCCTTGGCCAGCGCGGCCGGCGGCTCCGGGCAGCCGGGGCGCGTCGGGCCTGAGACCGCGCCCCGCCCTGGCGCGTTCCCCCGACGTCGACGCTCCCGGCGTGTTTCCCGCCTCGCGGGAGGCTCGCCGTCCTGAGCTTTCTGCCTC